CGGTGGTGTGTTGCAGGCTAGACTCTAAAAAAAGTGCTTTTCGACTCCCCGTTTATAACATGTTACAGTCCCACTATAGCATTTTTTTTTGGAGATGAACGCCAACTCTCTTCAGGAGAGTCCTGAGTCCTATGACTCTCCCGTCAGCGTGCCTCCTAAAGTGAGTGCTTCAACTTAATATATTCAAGGGAGTGCTTAAAGACAGCGTGCCCTTCAAGTGAGTGTTTAACATGTGACTTTCACATTTACAAAAGAAGAGTCCACGTTTCTTAGAATGTATAGTGATTCACAAGCAGTGTTTACGCCAGCGTCGACAGCAAGTGGCGCCGGAATCTGGCTCATTCATATCTTGACACATCGAATTCTCATCAACTCAAGTGTCAGCACCGAGCAACACTCCGTGATGATACACTGAAAAACGCTAGTGAAATCACGTGACGGGCTTAAAGCCTCGTTCAGCCTTGGCAATAACACCAGTTTTGTTATAATTGTTTGCGAATGGCCGCTTTGACCCCGTCGCTCCATTTTTTCTGTCGCACGACCACTGCCGCAAACCTCTGAACCAATTAGATGCAGTGTCACAGGACGCCGACTTATTTTACCGGGGCAATGGCGAGAAAACGCGAATTTTGTGCGGTGCTGGTTGGGTGTGAACATCGGTTGCCTTGATTCGCTTTTTTCGTCGCTGGCATTCGCCAAAAATTTCACGTGCGACCATCAACATCAAATATTTGCAAGTGCGAATAGGCCTTTCAACTGAACAGGTGGAGTTCCATCCGGAAGTGCCACATATGCTTTAAAAATAGCTACATCCAGCACAGGAAACGAGCGTCGTGCTTCAAAAGAGTAGACTGTTGGGCGAGTTGGTGCTTTTGACATAGCTGTGCTCTACTGCGTTTAAGATAAACCGAAAAAGGAAACACAACATGCTGAAAATAGAATGTCATTTTTGTAGTTGTCAAAACTTTGTTGCGTTCATGTTTTCATGGAACATTTTCACGAAATATCACATAGGGAACGATTTGGCAACAGTCATCGTCCTGGAAAGGCGAAACGTGAAAAGTCTGGTACCAAGCCACGCTTGTGGGTTTGTTTTCGTTTAATACAGTATGTATCTGTAAATTATATCGAAGAAAAAAGACGACATACGCATTTGCCTGAACCTGTATCAATAACACACGAGCTGTTGCTAAATTGACACAACAGCTCCTATCTGAGAAACCTTTAAACTTTTCCCCACCGAGCACTACTGACACTGGGCGGAGAATCGTTTGGTGGACTGCTACCCCCTTTAGCTGAAACTGAGAAAAAAAAATAAAAGTAGCCTGGACGTTTTTTCTTAACCTAGATGAAACGTTTCCACTTCCTATTGCTCCTCTCTTAAAAATTTAATGAACAAGCTCTAACGTGATACGTTTTTATGTGTCTCGGTAGAGAAAAACCAAAAAAAAAACGACAATGGGAAGGCAAACCGTTAAGGTAGAAATCAGACATCAACGGGTCTTCTAAACAATGTTTGTAGGACGATGAATTGCTTCTAGGTGACTACCGTCGGGTGTGTCCCGATAAAATGTAATACATCAAAGGAAGCATTGATATCACGTGACATCGAAGCTTTGCTGCGAAGATTCCCCTGATTTCACTAATCAGAATAGCGAGTTTATTTTTCTTTTTTTGAACCGCCCTGAACGGGTTATTGGCATCTACAGCTCTCGGCACATAATGTTCAGCCTGAAAATAACTAGCGAGTTTTCAAAATTTCAACCTTTGTTGCCTTATCATCAGATTATAGTCAAAGCGTGATAATCCCTCTGCAAAATAGAGTATTATCAACAATAAATATGTTTTCCTTCAGTGTGTACATGCACCTTATGTGAAGAATTTTCTTTGCTACACAAAGTGAGTTTACAATCCTGCTACGGGCTTTAGTGGGTATCACTTCATGGCACACGGATTTCCCTGTGTGTGCCTTTCGCTCCTGTGGTCCTTGTCGATACCTGGAAGCGAGCTATAAGATGAACTGATTCCACTTGCGAAGATAGCTAATTAACGTTTATGAAGTAACTAACGGATAATATACGTTATTTCGCGTCAACCCCATTTGTAAAAACAAATAAAGATGGAAAGACTCAGTAAATGAATAATTATGTAGGTGTTTCACGAGAACAGCTATGACACGATTATGAGGTAAGCTATAGTTGGGAGATTTTCGGATTGTAAGAGCATGGTGCTAGACCCACTGGTGCACAGTTTGAAAAAATGAACGAACCCAGCTAATTGTAAGAAACACAATTAGATAAGCACAAGTCCCAGTGTTACTAGTCTGAGCGCATGTTCTTCTTGTAACTTCATGTAATTTCCTGCTCTTGTGTACGCTTCTTTCAAGGCGGAATTATTCGTTCTTTCACTCTCGCGATTAGTTTCGAACATGCGGCACTGATTTTCTCGTGCACCTAAATCTCAGTGTGTTGGTGTTCTTGAACTTTGACCCCCCGAAAATGCGGCCGCCATGGCCGGTTCGATGAATAGACGTGGCGCGAACGTCGAATGCTATGCATAAATGCTTGACGAGACGTACGCCTTGAAGTGCGTGGCATGCAGACTCGGCGTCGCGCCCTATGAAAAGAGAAGTAGAGCGGCTAAGCAAAGGCACGCGCCCTCTTCCTGCAGAGGGACAAGGCGCGGTGGCGAGTCTATAGACGATAGCACGCCTATCTCGCACCCAGGCGTCTTTGGCAGTATACCCCCGCTCCCAGATACGCCATAATTTCTTTGCAACTGCCAATGCGCGCCTTGCTAGCATAAAATGCAGTGGCTCTGGGAGGTTGAAGTGGGAAAAGGCGCCTGTTCACGCTGCGCCCGCTTATAAAATGTCAGCTGGGTACCACTGCGCTGTCATCAGATGCGACAACAACCAGCGCAAGAGGAAGAGATTGCTGAGCACTGCCTGTGAAGTTCACAGCGTATCGCGGGAATCGTGCTGGTGCGGTGTTTTGCAATTGCACAGATTTCCGTCCACAACAAAAAACGCTGAGCTCCACCGCCTTAGGATATATTCGCAATCAGCCGGAAAAACTACGAGTCCTGTGAAGTGTACAAGTAAGTATGCTTATTGCGTTAATTCAAGCGCGACTCCAACTGTTTCACTTTACAACAGTGATTTGCGTGCAGTGTGCCGATAGTATGCGGCACGAAACTATTGCCGTAGTCTTTCGCAGGCCGCATGTCAATAATAGGATATACGTATTACGACTCACGCATGTTTGCACGCACCGCGCATGCTTAGTACAACTGCAAAGGCCTACTATCGCGATGCGTGAACGGCGTGGAAAGCATGACTTTCGACTCGGTCGAACTGCGACATGCCTTGACAGTCACTAGGCGATTCTACACGTGCTTTCGGCCGGCGTCCCCGTAGCATTTCGAAATCTTGTTCTGGCTGGCACTTTTGCAGCACGTGTGTGTTCCGAGTGCCCGGTAAGACTGGCAATTAATACACATGCGGTGCATGAGCGTGAGTTGGAACCAGATTCTAGCGCTACGTTGACGCAGGTTTACAGCACAAATTTGGCCATGTCACAGCCAAGGCATGCCGCAGTTCGACTGAGTCGAAAGAAACGCTTTCCGCTGTTCGCGTTTCTTTCAATCGCAATTGTACGTACCTGATTAAGCTGCTTGCGCAATCTGCAATGCACGGGCTGCAGACATTCCGGACTGTCGAGGAAGGTCTCCTCGACGTTTCACATGAAATCAGCATAAAATTTCAGCACAGGAACAGTGCGAAACATGCTTACAGCCGGACTCGGGTTGTTCAGTTTCGCGTTTGATTTGCGGAGCGTCTGCTTGCGTGGCAGTACCTGGGTGTTGCTTCGCCGTGCTTGCAACAGATGGCACGACGCGCTTTGCAATGCGGCAGCACACTCTGAGCTCGCTGTGTTCTAGTGTATACACCAGAACACAGCGAGCTCACTGCTTGACGCCGATCGAAAGCACAGATTCGCCTATAGTGAGTCAAGGCATGCCACAGTTCGACTGGGTCGAAAGCTATGCTTTTCGCGCCGATTACGTCTCAGTGCATCGCTATAGTACGCCGTTACAAATGAATACGTGCGTGGTGATTGCATCAACGCGTGAGTCATGATGTATCCTATTACTGGCATGCAGCCGGCGAAAGAGTACGGTAGTGATTTGGTGCCGCATACTATACTATACAGGCTTACTGCGCGCAAATATACTGCTGTAATGATATGTGGGGTTTAACGTCCCAAAACCACCATTTGATTATGAGAGACGCCGTAGTGGAGGGCTCCGGAAATTTCGACCACCTGGGGTTCTTTAACGTGCACCCAAATCTGAGCACACGGGCCTACAACATTTCCACCTCCATCGGAAATGCAGCCGCCGCAGCCGGGATTCGAACCCGCGACCTGCGGGTCAGCAGCCGAGTACCTTAGCCACTAGACCACCGCGGCGGGGCAATATACTGCTGTAAAGCGGAGCAGCTGGTGTCGCGCTAAAACGCAATAGTTATATTTACTCGTACACTTTAACTGAACTCGTAGATTTTCCTGCCGATTGCAATTGTATCCACTGGCGGCGGAGGTCGGTGTTTTCTGTTGCGGATGTAAATCTGTGCGATCGAAAAACACCGCACCGGAACGGTTGCCGCATCGTGTTGGGATCTTCACAGACAGTTCTGAGTAATATCGAACTCTTACGCTGGTTGTTTTGCGTCCGAAGACGGCGCAGTGGTACCCAGAAGACTCCTTATAAGCTGGTGCAGCGTGAACAGGCGCATTTTTTTTTTACATTCTAAAGTCCCAGAGTCACTGCTTGCCATGCTAGCGAGCCACTCCTTGGCAGTTCAAAACAAATTATGGCATCTCTGGGACCGAGAGTATACTGCCGAAGGCGCCTGGTTGCGAGATAGGTGTCAATAGAAGCAACGCACTGCAAAGCGTACGTGTGGCCGGGCTTTAAGAATATCACGCATGTCTGACCTTCGGAATTCCAGGATGGCCTTGATGGAAGCCGGGATGCCGTTGTCTGGCCACGAGAGGAAGTGGAACTGTGTGACTGTGCGGGTCTCGCTGGTCTTCAAGTTCTTGAGGTAAAAGCTGCGCACCAGATAGTCGTCGCACCAGATGTGTTCGGAGACCAGGTGTACCTGCGATTGAACGGGCGAATTAAGTCGTTGGCACACACCATGCTGCTACGTTTATATGCTCTAATATATTTGAAAAAAATACGTATAGGTTCTAATGCATTGGTCTAGGAGGACCAGAAATAGAAAGGTATGGTCACGTTCTTCCAGATCGATTGTATTGATCCCACGGGAAAGCTGTCAGCACCCAGCGTGGGTGCTGACAGCTTACATGGTCTCCGCCATCGGTACATTTGAAGATTTCTGCTCATAACGTGCTTTCGAAGTACCTCCGAATTTCTCTCACTTTATTCGAAGCGACGATTTCGAGTGATGGCGTTCTTTTCGGTGACCCGTGACGTCATGGGGTGACGTCATCACGTTATATATTTTGAGATCTGAAGCTTTAGCCTTGATGAAACGGTAGCAAAAGGAAAACGGTAGCAAGCGAGACTGAGAAGGGGCGGGAGCCTTTTGGCATCGCTCGTCGGACACCACCGCCAGACACTTTCCGCGCAGGCTTGGCGGTCTTATTGCGATAGCAACTAAATGGATATCCTCGGCTGGATTTTGCGGCCGGCGTTGCCGTGACTCACAGTATATGTATACGCATATATACATACATATATGAAAACGCAAAAAGAAAGAAATCCAGAAAAAGGCTTCGGCACGCGATAGCGAACTTGGAACCTCTGCATCGTAAGGGCGAGCCGTTAACCACTGAGCTTATGAAGAAACATCTTTCATCGTGCAAACGGCAAGCTATTTATATCTACCACTTACCGCTGGTGATGGGCATCTCGGGGGGGGGGGGGGGGTGAACTGTAGCGTTTTAAGCATTACCAACAAGATGGCGCAATGAGCGTGCTGTGGCAGCACGCGCCCCCAACTCCTACGCGTACTTGGCATCGCTCAGAAAAGTTCGTGGTCGCAAATCCCATGAACACACACTCGCGGGCTCTTACCTCGTGACTGGGAACATCTCAAGTCATGGCTATCCTTTAGCTTTCACCGGAACAATTTTGTTGTAGTTACCGGGCGCACAAAGGTCACTGCATTGGTTGCACAGTCTCCGTTTGCGGAAAAGGGCTTTTCGGACGCAGCGAAGTAACAACTCAGACGCTTATTCGCGCTCATCTGTGCCTGTGAGCACGTTTCGTGCATTTTTTGTGCGTAAGAAACGCGGAGCACGTTTGATCTGCTTGCCATTCTGCGCGTGACCTTCCAATTTGTTGCTATCGCGTTCATTGCTCCACCTTTGCGGCAAAGCTGTGACTTTTTTCTTTTTTGAACGCCACAGTTTCAAACCTATGTCAAAGGCATAGACACGACGGTAAATTTTTCGTGGTAGTTCAAGGCAACATTAACGCTAAATAAACCATGCCATGCAAAATAAGGCGATAGTTCTTGTGTTTTGACTAAAGTGTATAAATTTTCGCCGTAGTCGTAGCTTGTGTACATCTTATTGTTGTTACAAAGTTCAGAGCATTTTATCTATTAGGGCAGTGCAGGAATAGCAAAGCATCACAATGTTAGGCAGGTTAAATATTTTATTTTATTTTATACAGCGTGGTAATTCTTAATGAACGAATGTTTAAAACGTTCCAACATGAGGGCCACGCATATTGCCACAAGCGTTTAAGTACATATAAAACTTAAGATTTGTGGCCCCGTCATGGTTGTCTATTGGCTAAGGTACTCGGCTGCTGACCCGCAGGCCATGGGATCAAATCCCGGCTGCGGTGGCTGCATTTTCGATGGAGGTGAAAGTACTGTGGGCTCGTTAGTTCAGATTTGGGTGCACGTTAAAGAACCCTAGGTGGTTGAAACTTGCGGAGCCCTCTACTACAGCGTCTCTCATAACCATATGGTGGTTTTGAGATACTGAACCCCACATATCGATCGCTTTAAATTTGTGTATTTTCAGCGCTTGCTCAGTGTTCTGAGTTTATGCGTAGTAATATTAATAATGATTTCTTTTTTTGCTCACGTTCTTGACGCATGAATAGAGAGCTTTGGAACAGCGCAATGCAAAGCTTTAGGTTTGTATTGCATATGCGTTGTATGCTAACCTCTTTCAAGTTTCCTTTGAGCGACGAACGCTAACGTTACGTCCGCAACAAATGCAAGCTTTGCATTTCGAACTCTAAAGATTTCTAATAGAATTTAATTTGAAATGTAGCGTCAAGGTCCGAGTAGTTAGGCTAAACTATGCTCACCCATCAGATTATCGCCCCCACAAGCTGGTTCTCATTTCTTTTTGCGTTAGAAACATGCATACGTCACTACATACAGGGCATAGCCGCATATCTGTGTCCTCACTTGCTGAATTTGTTTACTGTGCTTGAGTTCAAGCTTCGGCTCTACCACTCATCTCTTTACCACGCTCTTTTCCTGATGAAAACAATTATATTCCATTGCCTACTCCTGCAATGACAGTATTGGTTAATGACCTGCCGATGTTTTGCCATATCACTATAAGAACGCACATATTACTGCTCACTAGAAAGTTTCTTACTGCCTTTTTCCTGCCGTCCTCTTTTCTCTCTTTTCCTCACTGCTCACAATTATTATGTAAGGGTCTAAAAAAACTGGAATATATTGCTCATTCTATTAAGTCAGTACCCTAAACACACAAACTAGGCAATGGCAGAAGGCGCACAAAACGCCTAAGCGATCTTACATTGTCACTTTAGTAGGCAACATTCTCGCCTCATTCGCGCCGTTGGAGTCTCACCGAGTACGTATTAATTTTTTTCACACCTTCCTTGTTTGGGGCACCTGAATCTATTTAAGTGAGCGGAAAGGACTATATCTAAATGCAAAGCAAAGGACGGAGTAATGAAATACGAGCACGCGGACACGTAAAAAAATGCGTCAGAGACGCGCGTAACCCGCCAAGGAGAGAGAATGAGTTAAGAAGAAATAAAAACAAGGGTAAGAAAAGGAGGGGGAGGTGAGAGACGGAGGGAAGGAGAAAGTGGCCGGAAGAGAAACATTGGTGCGTCTCGAGTAACGAGATTTAAATTACTCGCTCAGCGGAGAAGAAGCAGCACGGTCTTGCAGGGCGGTGAAACAAAGCGACACAGGGATCGGCGGTGGGCCGAGGAGCGTAAGAAAATTGAGAGAACGTATTATTAAATGAGAAACAAAACAATTGTCGTTGCCGCTGGGAAGGCCCGAGAAAAGCGCGAAGAAGGAAAATGTGGAATAGAATTTGAGGACAAGAGTATAGCCGACGAAAGGAGCAGGACTGCACGGTGAAAGTGTACAAAGTGAAAGAAACTGTACAGAGCTGCCCTCCCTTATCCCCCTTACCGCCCACTGCGCCCACGTCCTTCGGTTCTCTACTTTCTCCTCTGGCGGTTAGAAAACCGTGGCGACGGTGGAGGACCACGGCTCCGTCTCAGACACGACGTGCGACGAAGCGTAGCGCTGCGAAGGACCAGCTCGCTGGACGAGTAGCAGGAAGGAACAAATTAGAGAGAGGGAGAAGAGGAGGAGGAAAAGAAATAAGGGAGAAACGAAATGTAATGTGGAGCCGACGGAAACGAGGTTGCCCACGGGCCACACTCACAGCAGCACGGTGGTGTTGGGCGACCCGTATGAAATTTCGAGCGAGGTCCCTCGGAAAGAGAAAACTTTGTGGCAGAGTGTTCCTCTTTCGAAACGAAAGGCTCGGAGCTGATGGCGAGAACTCGACTCTTGGAGGTGCTCTTCTATTTTTTTATACTTCTGGAGTTGTTTGCTTGAACAAGTTTTGAGACGTTGTGATGTTTTGTATCACTCGCGACTCATTGTCTTTGAGGAAGCGCTGTTGCTCTTTTGTTTCGAAAGTAGTATATAGCTGTTCAGTCTGATGCCTGTAGTTTCTCAGAAAATGAAGCCTGTGTGCTACATTAGGCGCGGTGCAGCCGAGTTAGAAACGATGCCGCTGCCACCGCCGCTTCGTTTTGCCGAAAAATGTTCGCAAAATAAAGGTTACCTTTCCGAGAGACATGTTAAACAACGAAGGCATAACTGTTCCTTTATACGTGCGGGGCATCTGTTGTGGTTCTGCGATGAGCGGCTTGGGTTTAAGACTTCACAGGCAACACTGCACGCCAGCTTGATGAAATTGGGGCGTCACAAAGATAGGCTTTATGCGTTCATCAAAAACGCACGCGAAGTTCTTAGTTCGTAGTAAACGCTGCAACGAGCGAGATGCGCTTTGTCGTAATGACAAAATCTCGCTTCTTTGTTTTTACGACTGCAAGCCACACTGCATGCTTCGAATCAACAACGAACCCTCGCTTGAGCCACAGTTCGCTTCACCGTGTATTTGCGACAACGCCACTGCAGGTATTTGGGCGTACTTCGTCAGAAAACAGCGCTATTAGCAGGTCACGCCGCAAATGGTCAAGGTATCAGGCGAGCGCCTTGCACATCATATAATTGTGGTGCGTCCCTTTGATAACGTATCTCCTTTCCGGAAATTTGTCCCCTTCGACGTTCCCCGTGTGAAGCGGCGACAGCTATATGCCTGCCCTCGATTTTCGCTTCAGCGTATGTGCTCTTGAGTGAAGTCATGAGGCCCAAGCAAACAGGGAAGACATGCTCCTTACAGTGCTATTCGGAACTCGGAGGACACTTTGAAGGAAAAGGCGACGCTTGCTGTAGCACTGAGCAGTGAGGAGAAACCGTCAAGCGAAAGTCAGCAAACCGCAGCATGGCAGCCTGTAGGCAGCTGACTGCGCAAGCACCCTCTTGACGGGCAATACACTTCTCTTTCATAGTTACTTTATAGTAGTAATACGGGTGCTGTGAAGAGTAAACATCCTGCACAAGGAACGCTGTTTCTCTCGCCGTTATCTACCGTCAATCTGGACCCTTCCCTAGATGGCTGCTTATCGACGCTCGCTTATTCTTCTATCCCAATGCGATGGAAACAGTGTCGTCATTTAAGGCATTAGCGAAGTGAATGGCAGAGTGGTAGATGTGCTGTTTGGGGCATCGGGTTCGGTTTCGCCAGCTAAATTGGCCTGAACCCCCGATTCCGCGGTAATTGCTAGTCGCCGCCTTTCCGAGAGAGAGAGGAGAAAAAAAGTATCAGGAATGTAGGGAGGTTAACTAGACTAAGTCCAGTTTGCTACCCTACACGGGAGAGAGGGGATAGAGGGAGAAAAGGAGAGAGAGGCGGGAGGAGACACACATTGCACATAACACACACACACACACAGTTCAGGTTTCACAGGCGGTCGCACAGTGACGGTGCCCTCAAGAATTGTAGAAGGGCTAGCGTGGCTTTCTGGGTTGAAGTATTTGAAGGCTACGCTTCCAAGATTTCCGGAATTTCAAAGTGGCTGCGGACTATCTGTAGGAAGTACTTTAATTCGCCCATCGGACTCGATCAGCTAGTTTTACTGGTTAAAAAGTTAACTGTCTTTATTTCTGTAATTACAGTCGTAATAAACGTTTTTACACATGTGAATATGCCTTCTGCCAAAGTAAAGGGAACGCCGCAGCTAGCCTGCGGGTGCATCCTTTCTGTGATTTTTAAATATTATTGGACACATTTATTGAAACACCCTGCATATAGTAACTGAGAACGAGTAGCTTTAGTGTAACACTTTCGAAGGCCAGTAATAATCTTACTTAAGGAGGAAGTTCACTTCAACGTCACTCCCTTTTCATATCACAGCCGAGCACCTGCTTTTTTTTTCTGGCCTCCTGAGCAGGCACTTAGTTCGATACAGCAGCACAAATAAGACGATCAATAAATCTACAGCAAACACATCGGTTCCTAACACGTAAGCAAAAATAAACGTTTTCCTTGGAAATAACCGTTCGCTTTAGGAGCTGCAACGAGACATCTTCGTTCACACCAATGAAGAAGATAAAAAAAAATTCAGCGCGGCCACAGACTGATGGGAAACGTTACTACCTATTCAAACGTATGTCCTCCTAGAAAACTGGCGTCATTACAGCTGCATTCAGGGCCTACTCTTTTTTGATGTCTCTGCACACAAAGTTAAAGTGCGCCGTCGTTTAAGCCGGAAGTTTGCTTTCAATTTCTACTGCATTCCCCCCTGTTCCCCTCTTTCTCGTCAGTCTTCTTTGAATGAGGATGAGGGTTCGTTGTGCGTCTCTCTCGTGTCGCGTGTGAAGGCTTCTTTTCGTTCGCATTAAAACCGCTCCTCCCGCCATCGCTCACTGTGCCTCGCTACTAATTTCTATCTTAGCGCCGTCCAGTAGAGAGCGCTACCACGCTGGCAGCCGCCTTTCACGCCGCTTCTCCGCTCGTCCGGCGCGGAGTATGAGCGCTCAACCACTTTGAGTTCGTCTTAATTAAAGACGATGGCTCGCGCAAAGCATGTGCATCTTTTTTTTATTTCTTTTCCTAGACGAAAAAACAAAACAAAAACGAACCAAATACTGGAAGAAACCTGGAGGGGTAGGCGAGAGATGGGACGTTCTTGTAACGAAAGTGCGGGTATCTCGTTTCCCCTTTTCCGTCGATGAATGAGGGCGAGGATTGGGAGACGGGAGCGCGGGAGACGTACATTACGGGTTAGGACGGGGAAAAAAGTTAAACGTAAGAATAAATTAACTGCTTAAGGAAACATAAAAGCAACCCGAAGAAAGAGGGTGTGCTCTAGTAATGCTTTAGCGAAGCCAAAGACACACTTACAGCCGAATAGCTGGCGGGAGTGTGGCGGTGCTGATAGAAAGAGTGTACGAGAGAGAGAGAGAAAAAGAAGCAGTAGCGATGATGTTGAAATTCCGCCCGTCCCCTGGAACGAGGACGTCGGACCGGCGGCCACACTAATGAGAAATTAGAGCGTTCCGTCCCCACCCCCCTTTCCCTTTTAGTTGCCACCAACGCACTTTCTTTTCGCTTCTGAATGCACTGACGTCGTTTCCAGCTAGAACGAAGAAAAAAAAAGAATAATAATAAAGAATCCACGCTGGCGGGCACGCGGTGCTTGGTTGCACGCGCAGTTGAAATGTAAACGACAACGAAACAAATCGTCCCAGATTTGTCGACGCGCCCCCGCACGCGCGCGCATACATCTCGTCTCGCTGTCTCACTCTCAGTGAGGCGCCACCAGCGGCGACGAGTGTTTGCCGTTCTGTCTCACTCACTGAAGAGAGCTTTATTACCGACGCTGGCACGTGCTAGCTAGCTAGCGGGCGAGTGGGAGATCAAATAAGGGCGAGAGCAGCGGCGCACTGCATACGTCGCGCCGCCAAGCGATGATGCAATCAGCGTTTTTTTGTAAACTGATTTGTGCCCAGCTCCGACACCGCCACAGCGCTACTTGTTGGACGAAATAGTCGTCGTCGTGCTCGCGCGATACAGCTGCGGCTGGTCCTATAGTCTGGGAAAAACGCGTTCGAGGGTGAGCAAATAAGGGACAACTGTGTTCCAAGAACAGACATGCTGGCAAACCAAGGCTGAAAAATTGCGACGAGTCGGATGAAGACCACGAATGCAGGGCCCGCATTGACGAAGTTTCAGTTCTACTTGGAAGTATTCAAGCGAGCAAACAAGCTCTTTCTCTGAGCCCGTCTGGAAACCTGAAACTGAGTAGGCGTGTGACCGTCGACTATAGTTTCAGCTGCTCGAAATGCAATGAGAATGACATGAACAACGGGCGAGGGCTAGGCAGAAACAAGTGCAGGAAATGGCAGACGATTGTGATGTGAACTAACTCCATTGTTTACCAATTTATATACATTGGTTAAGCACGAGAGAATAGATGACACAATCTGGTTATTTTGGAAGGCACAGAAAGCGAAAAATCTGATACATGAACAGCAACAACGCGCGCTCAGCATCACATATAATTGATTTCAGACGTCTTCGAGCACATGCGTGGGCGGCTGTGATGGGAACAGAAAACAATAGATAGTAGAAAGAGAAGTGCGGCTTCGTCGCTAAATATACACTTCGAAGAGAAATCAGGGCGATCGTTTCATTGATGTAACCAAGATCTACAAGGATGAGTAAACTAATTAGCGTGTGACTTTCAAAAGTATGGGTGCATCTTCCGGATGCAGAATAGAAATAGCGTCACGGTTTCAGTGCGTGCAATACAGTGTCTTCCGAGCAATATTGTGCGCACTACGCAGGAAACACGCAACCGTCTTGCTGCTTTGGCGAGTCGTGTTTGCGCTAAGCGGCAGGAACTTAGCTACATTGTAGTTCGTCATTGCCTTCTTTTGGATGGCGCTTTCCTCAACTTGTTTGTTCAACGAACTTTATGACAGTGTACCACAGCTTTACATGACATGGAAAAGGCGAAGGGGATAACCAAAAAGAAATGAAGGGTTTGATGCCCGGAGGCGGAGATGAGTAGCGGGGATAGGCAAAGGTGACACCAGAAGACGTACAGAACGGATTGCGCGGAATTATTCGTAAGGTACACAAGCCAAGCTCAACGTAGCTTCCCGTTGTTACCTCGTAGGTGTGGTAGACTTCGCTTCCCTCCTCGGGCCAGTAGCGATGACACATGGCCACTCCGTTCTCCATCAGGCGACTCAGCATCACGATCACAACGCTGCCTTGTTCCCAGATCATCTGCACAAACGTTTCGCTCGATGACATTGCAATGCACAGTAATCACACAGATGTACACCATAACAGTTGACCAACGAGTTTATTCCACCTACAATATTCACTGTCTGTTTATAGCAAGCATCGTTAAGCCGCACACAGAATTCGGAGCTTATGACCAACTTTTGCCAACTTCTTGCCAACGTTTTGCCCACAGGAACCTTATCAAACATTGTGACCGCAGATGGCCTTCCCCTGGACATAGATTCGGCCTACTATACACCGTAAGTGTTCTTAAATGGTGTATCTGTAACTGCGCTAATGTTATAGCGGATTTGCGAAAGTATGTCTGCCGTCTCACTTTATTTTCTAGTCTTCTTAGACACTCTATAGCTGGGCCATGACCATTCCAGTTTTCATTCAACTACCGCTCTCAGGGTCTTTTTTTTTTCTTAATTTCGAAAACCTGTTTCGAAAACCTGCCCTTTGGCGTAGTACTATGTGGCGTCATATACACACATACAAATTTCTTTCGTATAATTGTCTTACAGTGAGTGGCGGAACGATCCGTGAGCTCATCCATCAAAATCGGGTGGTTGGCCAGGCCCGAGACCTGTCACACGGAGGTGGCGAAGACGGCGTAAACTCAGGCTCACACGACACCCCAGCAAGTTTGTCGCAGTCAGACCGTTGGCTGACATGGTGCTTTAGTGCAGGAATACAATCTTTCGCATGAGTGTCGCGCCAAAGTTCTACGTGGTCTGTGATTTCGCATTAACTCTATAGCTGCCAGGTCGATGATGCTATTTTGCCACGGAAGTGGTTACAAGCTTATAACGAAGTTTGATATAACCCGACACATCCTAGATGCACCATCATGCCGAGGAATAACTCGCCTATATGAGTTGGTGGAAAAATAAAGAAACGAAAAGCAACCGTCTCTTAATCAGTACACCAATCTTTCGCACACAGTTTTGCCGCTAGAACAGCCGAAAACTCAAAACTGTGAATTTTTCCTTCAGTAGAATTGGTTGCGTGGTGGCACGATCAGTGCCACCGATACCTCTACGTTTATGCCACCACCGCGACGGGCGTCTCTTCTTGTCGTTGCACACAGATTTGTGCATTGAGAGCGGAGTCTGGAAGCGTTCCCCCAATCTGAGAGCCCCGAGACATCAGTACGGTACGTCTATCACTATAGGCGCAAGCTGAAAAATAAACTGAGAACATCATTTTTTACAGCTATGTGTTCAAACTTACTCCGGCCATTAGGGCATGGTCTTGCCCGCTTTATTGTATACGATGCGATGTGACGCACTCGGCAATAGTACAGCATAAAAAACAACTTCGCGTTTCACATATACCTTTCTCTAAACACACCAAAGCAACCAAGAGGCTATTTGGTTTTGTTTGTGTATATGGCGCACTGCATAAATGCAAAAAGAGGACAACATGTGGCCGTGAATAAGGCTTAGGTTTCCATTGAGGCTTTTGATCAGGCCTTGTGGTTCCGCTGAAAGCCAGATGAGACATGAACTTTGCAATCGCCAATGAGAGTGAGGAGAAGAAGAATTCGCGTGCTCGGGTACAGAAAAGAAGTCTGAAAAAAGAAACCTATCCGCACCTGCCAGAAATCAGCCGTTGTGTGTGGCAAGGGTCCTTGGCTTGCGATGTACGCCGGGTTACGTGGGTCGTGGTCCGTCTGTAGAAATATTCGAACATTTCTGAGTCATCACTTTAATTTAATGAGACGTTCCAAAACAGAAATGAAGTCAGTCATCTTGATGCAAACAATGAGACGTAGGTCCTAAATGTGTACACTTGAACAGCGTAATCGTTTTGAGAAGTGTGATAACCGAAATATTTTGCGAAGCTGCTCGGCTATATGATCCGTTTATGCCGCCCGAAAAAGGCAAGATTGAAGGCACAGTAAGGTTTAAACAGTCTTACAAAAAAAGAGAGAATATTTAATAAAAAAAGAACAGAAATATGGCGACTTCGAAGTAACCATAGTTTGATAAGGCGTCATTGAGACGCAGTTCATGAGTTTGTGTGAGTAACTTACGATTGTACTGGCGTTGATGTAATCAGAGCCGTTGGCGTTGGAGACGTCGTTGAGAATCACCCGTGAATGGTCGTCTTGACGGGGAGAAAAAATAAGAATGTGGATGTTAATGGCCAGATACAGATGCAAAGCCCAAGCCTCAGCAAAAAAGGAGCGACTACCTTCAGCGCTATCGATCAAGTATTCTCATAAAAAGCATTTTTTTTTCGAATATCATCTAGCCAGGACTGCACATCCGGGTATTAAAAAATGCCTAATAAGCATTGAGGACATCTGTTGCTAGCATGCAGGCATATTGGCGTGGGCGTCGGTAGAGGGTGCAAAATGGGCCCTTGCCCACCTCAAGCTACATGAGCCCTTGCACCCCAACCAAGCCACGCCAGTGCTTTCTCCCTTCCGTCACCACGGTGCAACACTGGTTTGCACCCCCCAAGATTAAATTCAAACGAGGACCATGCGTCGGCCTTTGCACAGGATTATACAAATAGCGTTGTTCTTTCTAAGGTGTTTGCCGTCGTGGTAATATTATGTGAACTTCAAGCCACATAAACTCTTCAGGGCAATAATTTCACACAATTAATCATAATATCTAGGGTTTTACGTCCCGAAACCACCATATTATTATGAGAGACGCCGTAGTGGAGGACTGCGGAAATTTTGACCACCTCGGGTTCTTTAACGTGCACCCAAATCTGAGCACACGGGCCTACAGCAGTTTCGCCTGCATCGAAAATGCAGCCGCCGCCACCGGGATTTGATCACGCTACCTGCGGGTCAGCAGTCATGCACCTTAGCCTCTAAAGATCACAACGGCGGGGCGATTGCACGCAATTATAACGTAGTAAATGCGTGCACTATATCAATGGCACGCTATGTTGTTATAGCAGCAGTGAATCTGTTTTCTTATGCGTATTGCACCACCTAATGCACCGCGATACCGGCTATGTATTCGTAGCTAATAATACGCTACCGCTACTGCATAGCTGAAAGCGCAATACCGGTATTGCATAGCTGGTGGTGCTTCTGACACAACGAGCACCACCATACACAAAGTAACTGGCCTATTATACACTTATCCGACTCATCCTGGAGTACAGAAACACCACCTGGTTCCCTCGCAACACCTGATTCTCTCTCTCTCTCTCTCTCTCTGGCCCCGCCGCGGTGGTCTAGTGGCTAAGGTACTCGGCTGCTGACCCGCAGGTCGCGGGTTCAAATCCCGACTGCGGCGGCTGCATTTCCGATGGAGGCGGAAATGTTGTAGGCCCGTGTGCTCATATTTGAGTGCACGTTAAAGAACCCCAGGTGGTCAAAATTTCCGGAGCCCTCCACTACGGCGTCTCTCATAATCATATGGTGGTTTTGGGACGTTAAACCCCACACATCAATCATCTCTCTCTCTCTCACACACACATACACAAACACACACACACACACACAAACACAGATACACACACACAAAACGAAAAAAAAACTAACCAGCAAGCTCGAAGATGTTTAACAAAAAGCGTTTGAAGTCGTTTTCAACAAATTTAGCCGAACATATTCGCCTACAGAATCGCCTAAAAAGTCTGAACAACAAAGCACACACACAAAAAAGAACGCTGAAATTGGCGCACTTAAAGTTAATGTACCAACTGTTACACAGTCACCTAAACATAGGCCAGTTCCGCTACGTAAATTTATCCGCAACTAAAATTGCCTCCTACAGGTACGCATAACAGTGCCCCTTACAGGTTCCACACAGATTCTTTCAGGTTCTCGTTCTTCCCGCTTGCGAACAAGGAATGAAACAACCAGTCCCATTCCATCACCAGTAGCACATACTTAGTGACTTCCTCAAAACTACTAAAAGGCAACTGATTCCATCGCAAATTTATTACCGCTTTACATTACTTTTGTTTCTAATTTAAGCAAATATATATATATATATATATATATATATATATATATATATATATATGACTGACCTAATTAAGTCACTGTCTTAGATTGTCCACCTTTTATAACCCTCTGGAATGAACAGTATGAATGAATAAATAAATAAATAAAGGTTTTTGTAAACTGTGACGCAGTTCCACATTACAAAATAAAGAATTCAGTAGTTCGGGAGGGCCAACAACTGAAGACACGATATAGAAAAATACAGAACGTGAAGCCTGACGGTTCATTGGCATGGGACTGACAGAAGATACGCAAAAACTACCAGTTAACTATACTAAACTTCAGAAACTGCGAAAATGCACTCACAATTTAAAAAAAGAAGAAATCATGACCAACCAGCCCCAATCAACGCGTTTGTTAGTATCCTTTGGATCATGGTTAACGTGGCAATATGTTGCCCTCTTCAAATTTGGTGGCACTGATTTAGCCACCATGCCTTTGACGCATGTGGCATCAATACAGAACTTCGATAGCTACCTAAAGTACCAGTACGGAAAGTCATGCGGTACCGGTGACTACGATCGAAGACGTAGCGCCTCAACAACGGTGTTTCAGAATGGTATATCTCTGTTGATTGTAATCATGATAATATCTGGGGATTATAATTTCCCAAAGCCACAATGTGATTATGAGGGACGCTCTAGTGGAAATATTCCTGAAATTTCGACCACCTGGTGTTCTTTAACGTGCTCTGACATGTAGAATACGTGGGCCTCTACCATTCCACCTCCATGAAAATGTGATCGCCACGGCTAGGATCGAACCCTAAACCTGCGGTTCAGCAGCAGAGCACCCTATTGACACTCGGCTGCGGTCGAACAGTAACTATAGCTTCGGTCGAACAGTGGCCACTGTTCGACCGAGGTGGATAAGTTAAGAATTTCGTTATAGGAAGAGAGATGTACTGCAGCCCGGCACTCGCTGGTGGGGATATACAAATTTCGAAAGATCGTTTCTCCCTTACGTGCACTTCCCTCACTTCTTTTCCCCAACGGTGGTGCGAAGTGCTGCTTTTACGCATTCTAGAATTAAGCGTCTTTCACAACTTCGAAAAACCTCACGACGCTTCACCGGATGGTGGTGGTGGTGGTGGTGATATCTTTATTTCTCCCGAAAGAAAAAGAAAAATGGAGGGGCCCAGGACAGAGACTGGTTGCGCTATTTCAAAGGAGGTCGGCGGGGTTCCCTTCAAATACCGCAGCCTCCACTGCGCGCTGGATGAGCCGGCGTTGGTCTTCTGGCTCGGAGGCACCCAAGAGAGATTCCCACGACTCTGGGGTGTTGTCTCTGTTGCAATGCGTGCACGTCCACACCATATGTATCAGTGTCGCCGGACAGGAGGAATGCTGGGCTTCCTCAACGGCTGCAGAAATAAGCATCACCTCTTCCCCACAACCACTGCTGCCGACCACCACCATCTTAAGCGTTTCCTTTGGCCGATACCGAATATTTTCAAGTTTAACACGCACGTCAATACCACTCCGTGGTAAAGTGGCACCCTGCCGTGACATCAGGAAATACTGGCGTAGTCGTAAGCAGAACATTCTCTGATTATTCTCTCAAGATAACAAGCATTCGAGACATTACGCCCAAGTCGCTGGGGCTACGTGGTGTTCTTAATTGATCGTTTAATTGATTCTTAATTGAACTGACGCTCGAGAAACCAGAACGCAAGAAGCACATGGATAAGGCACGGTGGGAAGTATGAATATCTCTATCTTAATGATTTGTATAACGTAACGTCAAAACTAACCACATCCCGTAAGCGTAGACATGATTTGTCGGAAAGTTAGACTGTTTCTTATGCATGTTTCCTTTTGTTAATTGTCACAAAAACACTTTCGTGAAGTTCATCGCTCACACTTTTTATTTTTTTTTTTTCGTATAGGACGGGCTGAGACGGGAAATTCGGGAGCTGCGAGTGCGGTGCTGCTGCTTTCTACTGGCCACACACGCACAAAAGAAGAAAGGCAAACGGTGCATCCACGTTGCAAAATGTGCGTACGAGCAATTTCTCGGTTGTCTATTTCTGTCACCCTTCGCAATTACAGCGAGACGAAACCTACAGGCACGAGAGGAGCATCGCAGGGACCAACAGGAGCGGCTTGCTCGAAGGGATCTTCCTTTCATTACTCTTTCTTCATAGTATAAGCGGCATAGATAACAAAGAAACCGTACAAACGTAAGCAAAGATAGAAATCCCCACACAAAGTGCTAGGTGAAACTGTCTCCTACACGTGCCCGATTCTTACTTTCTCCCATTCTCCCGTAAAGCCGGAGTGTCCTTTTGGCCGCTCACTCGGTTGTGTTGCAGTGAGCTGTCTATCACAACAAGAAGAAGATGGGGCAAGACGACTGAGTCGCAGTAAAAGAAAGAAACAAGTGCAGCGAAATTGAGAGACAGAGTTAAAGCCAGTTAGAAAGTACACGAAGGCAGCGAAAAAGCAAGATGGGGTGGTGCGGGGGTGCCTCCAGAGTGAGCTGAAAAGAATCGATCGCACTGACCCTGTCACCCGGCTGCTGCCCTGGTCTCGCCGTTGCCCCGGACGCAGCAGAGTCGGGGGACAAAGCCGCGCGTAACGACGTCTAATCCCGTCCCCTTTCCGGCCCGTCCAGCCTCACCCCCTCACAATTCCTCTTAGGACCGACGCGCACAACAGCGTAGTGCGGCGCTTGACAACGTTAGGGTGGCCCATCGGCCGAACACCGTCGTCTGGGCTGGCCCAGCTAGCTAGCGCCACATCAAAAACAGAAGAAGGCGAAGAAGTGAAGCTCGCTACTCCCAAGCCGGCGGCGCACCAGTGTATAGGGTGCTGTGGCACGGTTGTTTCGTTCAGCACTCCCGCAAATGCAGAAACAGCGTGCTGGACGGAGAAATGACGTGGGATTTGGACCAAGTGCGTTGGCGGGCTAGTCGGTTGACGATCATAATAAAATTGAACGGCACGAGTAAACGGCGCTCTGTGTGATTCAGCGGGGTGGGTGTGTGTGCGCGCGCACGTTCTCTGCTAACGCTAAGCCTTGCTGTTCAAGGTTATGACGACGTAGGGCTGCTCTTACGGTACATACAGTCCGGCACCTTCACTCCATATGCACATGTTCCACCAAAATGTGACAGGCACGAGAAAGCGACGTAAGAGCTCTGGGCTCTACGATAATAAATAAAGGCTATCAAAACTGCAAATATTTAGTATATTTGGCCAACTAACACGTCTCGCAGCGTTCACTTCTCTCCTATAGCATTCTTCGCACTGCACGGTACTCCTGCCTTTTTTGTCGCGTTGAGATGCCGCAAATGCCTCGTAACAATACCGCCAAGTTCGAACTTATTGCTTGCGGAGCGCAGCCTTTGCCGAGAAGCGACTTCGAGCGCATTTTTCAGTAAAGGCTGGAGATTTCAGGGTCCAACGACTTGCGGACGTAGTGATCGATTCTGCGAGATTTCGGAATTGCTATTTTTTTCCGCGGTCATCCGTGAGCATCACTGGCAGAGCGGTGTTGTCACACGAGCATCGCGTTCACGGTATTGCACGCTTTTGCGGAGATGTATACGGTTCATGCACCCTGGCTGCAGCGCACGCCGGTAGGCCATTCTTCAGTCGGTCTTCTCGTCGCCTGACTTCAAGGTTGCCGCCATTCCTTTCTTTTCCTACTTTTTGGAGGGCTATTGGTTAACCCCACTGTCTTCTCCAGTTGTCTTTGTGCAATGACCGATGCAACAAGTCGAAAAGCACGTTTTGCGTTGTTCGCTGAGCGGAAATCAAGCGAGAATTCGCTCTGCGGCGACACTCACACCTCGTAGAAGCTTTACAAAGTGTGGATGAACCGTAACATTGCTCTTGAACTGATAACGTATTCCAGTTTCTCACGACTCCTAGGTTTTTATGTTAGTCACGGATGTAGGGTGGTTACGGAACTCGGCTGTGGCACGAAGGTCGGAAGGTTTGATTCCGGCTATGGTGGTCCCATTTTTATGGGGGCAACATATACTAGTGGCCCATGCACTCTGCTATGTCAGTGCATACTAAAAAAAAAAAACGCCACTAGGACAATAGTTCTGGAGTGCTCCACTACGGCTTGCATCATAATCCTATTGTGGTTATGATGAGCGAGATTCTACAAATTCGCATTATTTTCCATCATACGCATTTCATGTATGTGTATAGAGGCGCTTCGATTCCGATAAGGCTTTAGCTTGAGAGTTGTGTACCTGTCCAGTCGTTAATCTGGGCCTCACGCTGCGTCATTCGCTTTGACCATGTCAACGTATTCATTCATGCGCCCAGAGTCAATCTTCTTCTCCCTTTACTTTTTTTTTTTTTGCAGATGGTTCAAGCGTCTTCAAGCGCAAGTGTTTCGTGATTGATACACGTTGGGAGAACACTTAGTGCTCTGAATTTTGATTATGGTTCAAATGATTAGTTTCTTTCACGGTAGCCGTGTAAGGAAAAAAAATAAGAAGGAATTGTGAGTCAAAGTTAGCTGAAAAAATATACTTGAATTAAGTTCAACACTGTCGCAAGCCAGATACTCCTGTAGGTACGCCTGTGATCACGTTGTGCAGTCCGCACGTGCGTGGTCATATTCACACGCCATTTTTACTTGCTGCTCACGGTTACATCATCTTCATTCCCATGTTTTTTTTCTTCAGTGCAGAGTGTGCCCAGGTCAGTCAAATTCATGGTCGTTTGATTTTGTTAAGGTGCTCATTTTCGGGGTTGGAGTTTTCATTATTACTGCTTTTTTAGAAAGAAAAGATAATAATAATAATAATAATAATAATAATAATAATAATAATAATAATAATAATAATAATAATAATAATAATAATAATAATAATAATAATAATAATAATAATATTATTATTATTATATTATTATTATTATTATTATTATATTATTATTATTATTATTATTATTATTATTATTATTATTATTATTATTATTATTATTATTATTATTATTATTATTATTATTATTATTATTATTATTATGTGTGTGTGTGATAGAGCTGGAGAGAGCAGGGTACATTAAACGTATTGCACTAGTCTCTACAAGCACCTCAAATAGGTCCCACCCGAAATGCTTGCGATGTGCCAGGTTACCCGGCACAACATTTAGCGTCACCATTTTCGTTTCCCCGTGCTTTTGCTTTTTATTCTAAAGGAGAAGAGGGTTGGATGGGGAGGCGGGAGGAGACTAATGTCAAAAGCCAGACCTCCATGATGAAACGAAAAGACTGTAGTAAGCTTAGCAATTCAAAAGTCGTGACTGAGAGGCCAGTGTAGACTTTTCGAAGTCTTTGAGTTTATACGACTCCTTACAGTGACTATAAGCTATAGTTTCAGCCCAACGTCGTGGCTTATTTCCCGCTGTGGGCACGTGTCATACACCACAGGACCACCATGATTACTTTTTTACGATCTATGTGGTCTGTACGTGCGGAGGACATACTCACAGGTGAGGACGTCCGGGTAGCGGTTCTTCTTCATGTTAGCGGGCAATGAGGCGACCGCGGTGGAGCATGGGTCGGCCTCATAGGCGCACAGCGCCTCCCACTCTCTGTCCAGCCGGTCCTTGCACTTGAGGTGGTCCTCCATGTAAGACTGCAAGGCACCGTGCCGTGATTATCGTCGAAATTCGTTCGTTTTTCTTTGTGAACAGCAAAACTGTGTAAGCCGGTTGTAAAAGCTATCAAGTGAGCAAATGTGTACAAAAGGCTATTGTGATCATGAATGGGCGTGTGCCAGGGAAAACAAGCAATCCCAACACCTTACCACTTGTCCACTAAAGGTGAAGAAGGCAACAGGTGGCCGAAAAACACCAACTGAGATTTCTAGACCGACGTAACTAGTATAGTTGAGAATACCCAGTGATAAACATCGTGGCCGCACGTTTCAGCTCCGCTGAAGCAACTGTGGAGCGATTCAGTTGGTACATACAGCGAGCGAGTACACTACAGAATTGGAAAGGCGATGGCGTCGTGTTTGTCGTCCGACCACTCAGGCTGGTGTAAACTTGTCTTCAAGTCTTACCGTGTGTAATGAGGGTTGGATCTGTGCCCTTTTTATTGACTCCCTACTATAATCGTCTTCACTGGACTAGGACCACTGTTTCTATGTTTCACTTGTAGAGGTCCACAATTTCCAATCGAAAGACACTTCCAGGCAAACGAGCTATGTCAGTGTCATTTTCCTCACCCCTTTCTATGTCAATTACTACGGCTGCTAAATTTCCGTAACATCGCAGCCTGAAACTTTATCTGTCTAGTGTCGTAAATATAGGACAGTTAAATTTACCACGTGTTGACGTATAACCTCGTGAGCTTTGAGCAACACAAATGCCCCAGTTACTTTCTCACCTACCATGGGCTCGTTAAAAAATCACACTAATTTGAAGACACAAAATGGCGTCACAGCTTCAGTTTTCTTCTGCTCTATGGCGTCTCTCATATAGAGTATAGGTTCACTCGGATGACGCAGTTTTTGCGTGGGAACGGTGAGGGCAAGTAATGTGCAGGCTAGCAAACGTTTAGTCAGACTCGCTTCAGTCATATAGTTTGCTAAAATTAACAAGACAGGACCCTGGCGCTGCGATCGCTCAGTCACCATGGGAATGATGCGTAGTATACAGATTGCCTAGTCTTCGTGCTTGCGGCTTCGAATGCACTTGCGGCTTTGTTTATTACTGTGTTTTGGCTTTGTTTCGAATGCAATAATGGACCGTTTCGAACTTCGCGACCCGATTTTAATTGGTGAGCCTAAAAGGTTAGGGTGGTGAAGTGCAACTGAACATTTACCGATTGTCGTCTGGTGACAAAGCGGCTCTAGGCCACGCGAAGCCAAACGGAGCCGAAACAACGAATATTAGACAAATTTGTGTATACTACCCATCGTTCCCATGCTAACTGAAGCACCGTGCGTTGTGGCTACCACATGTAGATTCTATCGCCAGAGTTCATTCTAGTGTATCCATAGGAATGAGGAAACGGGGGAAAATACAACGCTTACTGGACAGTCGCACCCTTGTCGCACAAAAAAAGAAAGCTGCTCAAGGGGAAGAAAGAAAAAAAAAAAATTAGCCCCATGTTTCTATGTTTCACGGCAAATTTCGTACGACATCTCTCTCATGTGGAGAAAGCTAACAAAACGTTTATTTGATAATCTGCGCGAGAAAATCGATGAATTGTACTCTGGAAGCGCTGCGTTAGAGAGTCTACAACCATGCAGCGAAGGCGAATGAGCGCATCGAGGCACGTTAGACACGAGCGCCATCTGGCAGTTATCTTCGAAACCGAAGGAAGGCGTGCGCGCCCACGGAGAAAGATGCGCGGCTGTCTCGAAGGCGATAAGGTGTAGAACGCAAAGCGACGGGCAAGTGCCACAGCAGTGTCGTCTTAGCAAAGCGTTGGAAACACTTGCATTTTTGAGCATGGTGTTGCACTGTCAGCACAGCGTGATAAACGCTACGGTCCTTGAAATTACTTATGTGTACCTTCTCTAGTAAAAAGCCACACATAGAAAATATCGACGTGTTGTTATGGTGCCTCAAATATGCGCAATAATTTATTTTGAATTGACAATCGCAGAAGTATGAACGCTGAAACGAGCAATATTGGTGGGTGCTGCGGATGGGGTTGGCCGTTTGACGTATCGTTGGGTGCCGTTTAGGATATCATTAGCGCGGACAAACAGACAAGTGTACAGACAGACATACCAAAATTTTGGCGTTGAAGGTCACCAATGAAGACGATCGTTTTGAATAACTGTGCTTCCTAAGATACACAGACACAGAACAAAAATTGACCCAAATCTACATGTTACACTGTATATGTCGTCGAAAGACGATAGTCTTGCGTCTGGAGAGAGTGAACAAAACGTTTATTTGATGTTCTGGGCAAGAAAATCGGTGAATGGTATTCTGAAGGCACCGTATTAGAGTGCCTCTAGCGTGTAGTGGAGGTGAACAAGCGCATTTAGGCACGTTAGACACACTCGCCATCTGGCAGCTATCTTCGAAAACGAAGGCGCGCGCGACCGCGGAGAAAGATGCGCGCCAGTCTCTGAAGTGATAAGGTGTAGAGTGCAAAGCGACGGGCAGGTGCCACCACCGTGTCGTCGTAGCAAAGCGTTGGAAACACCTCCTTGAGCATCGCGTTGCACTGTCAGCGCAGCGCGATAAACGCTACAATCCTTAGAGGTACTTGTGTGTGCCTCTTCTAGTATAAAGGCAGACATACAAAACATAGACGTGTTGTTATGGCAACCCAGATATGCGCAATATTTGTTTTTTTAATTGACAATCGCACAACTATGAACGCTAAACCTTGAGCGATATTGATGGGCGCTGCGGATGGGGTGGACCGTTTGGTGTCGTTTTAGGTATCGTTAAGGTGTACAAACAGACAAATGTACAGACGGACAGACAGACAGACAGACCGAAATTTTTCTGTCGAAGGTCCCCAAGAAAGACTATCGTCTTAAAAAAAATGGCAGCATATCCACGGAGTGAATGATGGGGAGTGGGGTGAAAAATTCGTCCGTCCATTTGTTCTTGCTTCCGTCCGTTCCTGCGTACGTCTGTGTAACCGTCCATGCGTCCATCCACCCGTCCGTGCGTGCGTCTGTTCGTGCGTCCGTCTCTGCGTTCGTCCATGCATCCGCGCCTGCGTCCATTCATGCGTCCATCCATGCATATGCCTGTGTGTCCGTTCGTCCATCTATTCAGCACTCCAAGTACCACCATCTCGCATCTTTTCATCATATATTCTCCATATAGAAGCACCGCCATCCAGCAGACATTTCAAGGACTAAACGGGAGGTGGTACATGCACACTTTCTTACGGCTTGCGCTTCGGGTTTACTTCCCACGTTTAACCATCTCGAGTTCATGGTATATACTAGTTCACTGTATTCATGGCTATGCGGCCCAACGCTCGCTAAACCTTTCTAAAACCAAGGAGGTTACACCTAGCGAGTATAACGTAGCAACCCTTTCTTGTCAGATCGTGCTCAATGTACATGCCAATAGCTGCTAATGGGGATCGCAGCGTGCGCGTTACCTAACGACCGAATGCTCCTGTCTCTCATTCCCCCTTAGCAGCCATTAACATGTGCATTTAGCACTATCTTTTATTGTTCAACAACGCACAGACGAAATCTCTCACCGGAACCACCTTGGAGGTCAAAATCTTAAGAACCGCTATTTCGGGTATGTGCCACTGGTGGTTCCGTACTACGAGGGACGCACAAGCCACGCCATAAGGAGCTTCGCCCCTAAAACGAGAGACACGGGGCAGGCGAGATAGCATGGGCTGCCGAGAGAGACCCACCCAACGCTCTATAGCTAGCCATTGAGGCTGCGCCTCTCCTATGTGTCTTTCCGGCTTGGCGCACAACTACGGGCGCGGACATTGCAGCATCCACGGGAGACAAGGGAGGCGTTGGAGAAGCGCGGCCTGGCTCGCGTTCTCAGACACAAATTCGGCGTGTCGATGCGTCTTCTCAATGCCCCGAGCGAGTGCGCTTTTTGGGGGAAAGGAACTACGTATATACACACAGACGAGAGAGGAGACGGCGGCGGTGGTGAATTACAAGCGTGCGAGGCCTGTTGCCTCCCCGCCCGGCCACCTTCAAACACCTTCGTCGCACTTGCCACCCCCGGCGAAGAAGCTTCTCCATTCCATTTGTTTCACGTATTGTAGAACGGGCCTGCAAACGACAGTACGCTGTTGACATAGACTGCAGTCGGCCTCTCTGCAGCATCAGTGTGTAGTGCGGGAGGAACACCTCATTGCTTTATTTCTCCAGCCCCCCCCCCCCTTCCTTTCTTGCTTGGCCCCACACTACATAATTCGTTTCTTCTCTCAATTTATGTGCGTTGATGTCTTTTCCCCACCGACTGCTGGGGGTTGTATTTTTGTGAACGACAGAAGGGCTACCCCGTCTTGCTGGCGAACTTGACAGTATTGCACAGGCAGGCAGCTGGAAGCTCTCGCAGAGTCATGGCTGCAGACTTGAACCGCCTCCATCGTCCTACCTCCGTTTCTATGTCTCCCACAGTGAGCAGCTGCCTCTTGTTATTTTTCGCTTTGTTAGAATTTTTCCCCGGGATGCGCTCTGCGTCTAGATTGGCACGAACGCCCCCCCCCCTCCCCCCATGTTTCTCGTATATGTTTGGAAGCCCACACCGAGGGCTGTTGCTTTTGAAGCTGAAGATGTGGAGTGACGCATTGCGTTTTACGTCCGACTCCCGTGCCAAGTTGGCTGAGGTGATCATTAAACATTGGTTCGTCCGTGAAATGCCTTTCCAACATTTCTTTTTACTTTGTATCTCGAAGGCCAGCGTAGCAAGCGCCCATTGCTCTTTCCTGCGGGGCAAAGTCAACATCGCGGTGAGCACTAACGAGGTGGTGTAGCCCTCTCATGCCCTTATAGGTGGCGCCACCTGTCTGCCAACAACGCGGATTGCTTACAGAAAAAAAAGATAAAGAAACAAAAGAAAATAAAAGAATGGAAAGCATCAGTTAAGTGAAAGCTCCGCACCTTCTTGTTTCTTGTTTTGTTTTGTCACTGGCTTTTCTTGAACTGCATATACTCAGTGTTCAGCAAATGAAACGCTTTATTCGACATGGCTTCTGGTCACCAGTAAATGCTATGTTTTCTCATTGTACAAAAAGGTTGTCACAATGCGGGAGCACATCTTTTTTTTTTCATTTGCTTAATTGGATACCATGATGAGGCCGATTGGCATTCTCGGTACTGAACGAAGGCGCATGGAAGCGCCAAGTGCCTCGACATGCGAGCATCGTGTTTGAGGTGCTTACCACAGTAGCGCATCTCAGCAAGAAAGAAAAAAAAAGTGGCTCAAGCTGTAAACGAGCATCCGTTGTCAATTCTATATGCCTTTTAAACTCGCCTACTGACTCCACGGGAAGTCATAGAAGCCGGAGGTGGCATTCGATTTTCGTTGTCTTAGCTGTGAAATGCAGCAACCTCTCCAAGTGTGGTTGGTTGGTTTATCTTAAGATAAATCGGCGCAACCAACCTCTATGTTCAAGCCATGAATTTATGGTGCCTTGTCCAGAAAATTATTGGTATTGATGAAAGAATACGCTTAGAAATAAATAGTTTAGCGTTTACTCATTGACGGTATGAACAAATGAGGTTTAGGAGAAGTTTTTAAAATATTTAAGTAAACTACTATGATGAAATAAGGAAACGGTAGAAACAAAAACTAAAGTTAGTTACTCTTCACATCCGAACCTTTTTATTATTAGTTTTACTATAACACTCCATAATGATACCATGTTGTCTTCGTCGTTATTCTTTAAGACAGTGCTGTACCAAGTCTTCATTATTTTCCGGAGGACGTGTAGTGTGTATATATATACATATAGCTGCAACATACCACAAAACATCCGAACAATTTCGATCTGTCAAAGTATGTAGGCAAGATTCGAAAGTAATCTCGTATAGCTGCACAATGTTAGTCCATTGTTTGGAAAAGAGGCAAATAGAGCAATGAAAAAGGGCCAGAGTAAATTTTTTTCTCTTACCAATATCATGTGTCCAGTCGAAATGTCCAGGTTAGACGTCACCGGTTCCTCGCTCCTGAGAAAACAGGAAAAAGAAAATCGACATCTTACTCGACCATTGAGATTTAATTAAGAGAAATGTAATGCAATCAACATAGTTAAGAGAGAGAAAAAAGTCAAGAAGTGCTAAAGCCATGTCCGAAGTGAAGTCAGTATACGGTGAGGTAGACAGCTTAAAATAACAGTGAGCGATAATGACCCCGCACTTCGTTTGAGGGAAAGAAAGCACTTTTAAAGTAACCCGAACTGCGCCTCTTTTAAAAGTCATTAGCTCGTGACAGGCCAACGGTCACAGGCATCATTCAGAACTCATGGCTCCCGTGGAGAGCCACGTATTTGTCATTAGCTGCTTGCCTCTGTACGACTTCAACCTTTTCTTTTTCTCCCCGCACAAACTACACGGACACACACGCCCCGTTTCTCTAATTGAATCAGAGGAAACACGGCTGTAAGAGTCTCCCAAGCGGTTATAAAATTAAGAGTCCTCCCCAACTCGTCCTGCCAGTCTGATTGAAAGGCAAAAAAAAAAAAGAAGTAATGGTTCGCGCGAAAGTGTCTGCACAGAGAGCGCTGACATCAAAAGCTGCGGAGACTCGAAGAAAAGTTGCCCAAATTGAGAATGACCGAACACGAAAAGAAGCGCCGGAAAGCCGATTAAGGGACACTTAACAAAGCGACCCTCTCGGGTTTTTATAATTCAGTGATTGAAGGATCTCCAGCTTCAAACACAGCGTGTACTTAGAGCGACGACGTCCCCTTAGATACATACCTGTTGCCTAGACTGTGGTGTACACCTAGTGTTCGAAGGGTCGTAAAAATTTACAAGTGAAACCAATGTGACAGGCATTTATTCGAGGGGTGTTGGTAAGTTATCTGTTTGTATACGGAAATGAAAACCAAAGCTGTTGACGTTGGAAGACCATTTGTATGTAAAGAAGCAAAGAAGAGAGAACTACTGGCGACGCTGCATCGAAGTTCTCGTAGAAGATCGCTGTGACGTCATAGATTAGTATTGTGTGTCTGCTAATTTAGGTGCATCTAGAAAATGGCTATTTTTCTTTATTGGTAAAGACGGACTAGAACGTGTTAGAAGAGAGCTCAGCTGAGGCTCAGTAAGTGCTAGCAATTTCTGTTCATTAGCATTCTTTTAATTAAACAGACACACTAAGCTTTGTAGTGTACCTCATGGATATCAGCGCTTAGATCAGGTCACCAAGCTTTAGAAACAGGGAGAAAAAAGGAAATAAAACATGGATCGTGATTCTATTTTCAAGAGCGAAGCTTCTTAGGGTCGATTCATGTCCACCGTCATCCTTCGATGACGATGACGATGATGACGACGAAGAGCAAGCACGTTCCAAAGCACGCATTCTCTTTCGGCCATCCAGGCACCGCACATGCAAGGCACTCACTATGCGTCATGATGATGACGATGAAGATAAAGCATCCACTATTTCACTGTAATTTATCATTCTGCTGATATGCGAGGTACTCGCTATACATTTGTAAGGCATTGTGTGTACTTTGAGCTGCGTCTGGTGGCGACGAAGAATAAGTGCTTTAGAGACAATGCATTCTCTTTCTGCCATGGATAAAACCAAAGTGAACGTGCTTTCGTCCTCAAAGCTACAGAGGCACAGCAACGTCGGCAAGCCGATACAGAGTCGGCGAGGGCTCGCGAAGCTGCTGAGAGACGGCAGCGCCGGCAAGTGGACCTGGAGGCGGCGAGACGGCGGGAAGCGGCTGCAAAACGCCTAAACTGGTCGCTACCTGAGGTCGCTACGCAGGCTACCAATAAAACAACATTGTATATACTGTACACACGTGTTGTCAGTTATTTGCATGTCTGAAAGGGCAATCTTAGGGGGATTCAAAGTTACCTGGAGCTTCGTTCACTCGTCACCATTGACTTCCTGAATATCCTGCGATTTTTTAATCATCAACTTGTCAGCACGTAGCCTACAAAAGCAGTGTGAAATTTTCTTATGTTGGTGTAACACAATTTAGTGCTCTTCTTTTTTCGTAATTTTTTGAGACATTATTTAAAATAACCGCGGGTAAAAGCGCCATGCACAACTTTTTCGGTTACCTAAGTTATTCATAATTGAGCAACATGTGCCAATCAGACCGTAAGTAGTTTGCTTTATTTAAAACTTAGTCACACTGCTTATCACTACCAACATTATGAAAGAATCTATGGGGGCAGAATTATCTCGGTGGTTTTACGGAAACGTGCCACTGCTTTTCGACATTTTGGAAACCACGTAGCTTCGGGCAAGTGCTAGTCTAGGCGTTTCACTCAGTTCGCACATTGACAAGGTCTACGTTTGCTGAGGTTTAATGTCTCTTCCACACGAAATAAAAGCATAGCATGTTGCTTGATTTCTGCCTCCTCCACTCGCCTACAAAGACCGATTGTTTCAAATGCACGCCGTGTCTCAAATATGAACATTAAGTGACTCAACCCATGTGATGGGATTAGTCCCATCAGTCATATTAGTGACCTCGTCTTTGTTGGTAAACGCTGAACCGACACACAACCGACAGAGCATTGTACTGTCACATCGAGGATAACTGAAACCAAGTAGAAATCATTTCTAGAATTGAATTGAGTGTATTTCTTCTGTTTACAACCGAAATAAAACAGAATCTAAAGGCCATGCAGGCTGACAGAGACCTTGTGATCTGGTCATTTCTGGCGCCACTCTGCTCAATTCAAACAGGATCGTAAAGCGTGCCTTGAGGAGACTCGATGATCGGCCCTTTATTGAAGAAAATATCTCGGGAGCCGGGCTCCACAGCGCATCAGCCCCAAAAGTCACACGAGCACTCCTGCAGGACTTGGAGGAAGCACACGGAGCAGGATATCCACTGCTCTGTGCACATGTCCTAAAATGTATCTCTCCTTCTCTCTCTTTCACTCACTTATTCCAGTCCCCATGTCAGGGTAGAAAACTAAACTTAGTTTGCCTCCTGTCTTTTTCCATGTTCATTTCCTCTCTCTATCTCTCTCTCTTCCTTGTTTGGGGGCCAGCCATGTACGTACCCTCCCATAGGCGTGCGCAGGGTTCCCCTTTAGGGGGTGGGTGGGGGAATATGATCACGCCCCCGGTGGGGGATGCAAAAAATCAATTACCACTGGTCCTCTATCCCCTCTTACCAAGATACACCAGCAGGTGCACGTCACCCTAGCCTTACCACAAGACCCCATCGCGATGCGACACGAGTTTAAAACCCCAAGGACTAAATTATGCCGAAGCGTCTGTATAACAACCCCTCCCTATTTAAATATAATAAAACCTTCGCAATGAACACGAGAACAAAGTCGAAGCGACGACGGGCTGCATCTTGTCCTCGGCTTTCCAGAAGTAAGGGGGGAAATTGAGCAATTCTCGCATAGCAACGCCATAGGTCCGTGGCCCCCGATTATCGTCAAAAAACCTGGTGTAGACTGACAAGACAGGGTCAACAGATTGAAAATGTGGGGCACACTTTGATGATTAGGAGTAGCAGTGAGCCCCTCCTTCCAATTTCCTGCCTCCTTCCCCGCACGCACGACTATTTGCCTTTCTCTTCCTTTTTCCTCCTCTTTCTTCCTCTTTCCTGCTTTAATATAAAACCTGAATGCCATGGCCTCGACACTTTATGGGCACACGTCGAGAAATACACAGCACGCGGTCATTCTAAAACTGCGCCGCAGTGCGGGCCACCATGCCAGTGCCAAGTCCCGCCGCACGCGCAAACCAAGCGTGCGGCGGGATTTTGAGACGAAACAGTATCACGCCGACACGGAGGCGTGAAACGGAGGAAAGACCGCGTGCTCGCTTGCCACAAAAGCGAACCGCCGGCTGCGTCGTCGTAGAAATGAAGCTTAGGCCCATTTCGCTCCGCGTTATTGGAACAGCCACGGCTGACGAAGGAGAAGAAGAATCAACGGTAGTGTGGCAGGATCCGCAGGCAAGGCGGCAAAGTGACGGCGCACGCCCCGCCGCAAGGGCAATAAAGAAAGCCCATATAACACGTCTTTCACACGTCTCACAGCCGCCCGCACGTTGGTGGTTTCCTTGCCCGTACGTAGGAAAAAAAGATAATAAAAGTTAAAGGGGGAATGGGGAGGTGAAAAGATAGGAAATTGGAGGCGATACGCATCTCGCGCAGTGCGCGCCGCTGGAGAAAAAAAACAGCCCACGTCCTCGGGAAATGGTTATCCCAAGGGCATTAACAGCTGCCGTAAAACGATGTAACCGTCGACGAAAAATCGTGGCCTCGGGAGCGCGCGCATCGCCGAGCGGCGTCAATATATATAGCGGCCGACGGTCGTCGCACACCTCCTCTCTCCCTGTTTTCCTCCTCCCGCGTAGCCTCCTTGTGAGCCAACGAAGCGAAGCGTGAAGTGAGGGAGAGAGAAGTGGGTCCGAGCGGAAGGAGTAAGAACAATGGCCTATATTGAATGCGATATCCCTGAAATGCCCCGCAAAGGAATGGTACCATACGCAAGATGTCAGGGGCGTTCTGAATTACGCGATGTGAACCAATTTCAGCTTTTGTCTGTCTTCTTTTTTTCTTTCCTGTTCTAAGATGGTGGTATTTGACTTTATTCGTAGCTCGGGCTCCTATACACTCTTTCCACTTGCTCGGTTTCTATTTCCCTTTCGGCAGGCAGTCGGTCCTGAATATTATTGCTCATAATTTCTGGCGTATATTGAGCAACGAAAAGAAGAAAAGAAAAAATAACTCCTCAAACTATAGCAAGAGCGATCCCATTTCGATTTGTTCCATCGTTTCGTGTTCATACAGATAAGTGTACATTGCTTCTGTCAGCAGAACAATTATGAATCGCACACGGGCAGATAACTGATAGATAGATAGATAGATAGATAGATAGATAGATAGATAGATAGATAGATAGATAGATAGAAGGACAGACAGACAGACAGATACACAGATAGACATAGATAGATAGATAGATAGATAGATAGATAGATAGATAGATAGATAGATAGATAGATAGATAGA